TTTCCTGCTCCTCTGATGCTGCTTGGCCTGCTGTGTTCATCCAGCTCTACACCTTGTTATCTATTATCAGTAGGTTTGGATGAGATTTCTAAGGAGTATCTACACCATGAGTCAGTTAACGGTCCTTCATAGAAAAAATAGATTGCACTGTTCCATCATTAGAATCACTTAAATTAATAGAATGTGAGAAAATAGATAAACTAAAGTAAGCATAGTCTGGAGCAAATGTCAGGAACCATGCAGGGTATCTACAGAGTGACACTTCTTGTCTAGGTGCACAATACCCATAAGGGTGTGGTAGGTAGTTAATGAGATTATTTGAGTAAAATATAGCGATTGACATGTACTAAAGGTTTTCCATGGGTATATATTCCAATCTATACATCTCCTTGCTTCATGTAACCCTCATTTTGTGCAACTACAGTCCATCAGTGGTGTTCAGTAAAGAATGAGAAATTAAGAGAATCTTCCCACAACTCAGAAAAATATATGACAGTGCTCTGCAACAACAACATTCCAACTATATTTAATAATACAAGTCTAAAGTTCTAACAATATTTTAGCATAAAAATATCTACCAGAAAAAGTACCATAGCATTGATTTAATCTGTGTTTTAATCTATATGCTCTTTACACAGGTTGCACGTGCCAAAGTTTTGATTCTAATTTCCTCTGTGCAGCCTGTGATAAACATTGGGAACAACATCAAACATTCTTCGAAACAGAAGCATATAGAAAAGAAGCTGGGCTCCCATATGGTAAGAAGGTGACATTGTAATTGCCCATATTTGTTCTCACATTGTACTGAGTATCTGTCTCAACAGATTGAAGACCAGGACCATGGCGAGATATCATGAGCCATGATACTACTTCTGTTTCTGTGCCTCTTTATTCTCTACTTTTAAACTTCCCTCTCACATTCTTCAAGTGCTCAGAATTGGAAACTATAGTTGTGGTGGGGTTGAATGGTTTTGTTTAAGTTTAGCAAAACAGTGTGGCTTTTGTACTCCATGAATCTATTTAGAAAACCCATCAAAAACGCAAGATTTGCTATGATAAATTTACAACCATGGCTTTGTCAGAAAATTACACACAATGTGATTGTTGACTTTGTAATATAAACACAGTGTGGAGCTCTGAACTCAGTTCTGAACTCTGAAGAAGGGTCCCAACCCGAAACTTCGACTTTCCGACCCCTCTGATGCTGCCTGACCTGCTGTGTTCCTCCAGCTCCAGCATCTCTGACTCCAGCATCTGCAGTTCTTACTATCTCTGTTTATATCACAAAGTCAGCCTATACAATATCCAAAAGGTAACACCCAAAAGAGTTGAATCTCACACCCACAATAGACATCAATCCTGTGTACAAATGAGAATATCTTGAACTAACAGTGATGAATTCTATTGGTACATGGCTCCTAGTTTTCATTTCTCAGTTTAAAAATGGAAAAATCTTGCAGTAAATTAGTATCAATCAATTCACCTGTACTAATGTGCTATTTCAATCCATACAAGTGAGCTTTGATATCAGAAAAATTAAAATTTGCAATGAATGATAGATATTTTCTCATTTTTAATTGAAACTAACAACACTTACAAATGTCCAATATGGAGGGAATTATTGGATAGTGAAGTACTGCAGATGTTGAATATCTGAAAAAGAAATAGGAAATGCTGGAAAAATTCCTCAGGTCAGGCAGCATCTGTGGACAGAGAAATGTAACCAACACTGCAGATCTGTGCTCTGCACTAGTTCTAATGGTTCTTGATCTCTGATTCTCTCTCCACAGATGCTGCCAGATGGGCTGAGAATTTCCAACACTTCCCCAGGTGGACTGCAGCGGTTCAAGAAGACAGCTCACCACCTTCTCAAGGGCAACCAGGGCAGGACGATAGAGCTGGCTAGCCAGCGATTCCCACATCCCATGACTGAATAATAATAAATAAAAGTAATATGGGATAGTTTAATGAATGAAGTATACAAAGATTAACCACAATCACAGTGCACTAAAGATATCACTTTCATTGCCTTTGCCAACTGATGCAAAAGATATCATTGAATTTATTAAGTCACTTTACCAATGAATAATCATAAATATCCCACTCTGGATCAGATTTAGAACTTTTGGTTTCAGAATCTCAACTCCTCATCCTCCTCTCCACCCACCAAACATATATTCAGAATATAAGTTCAGATATTCAGAGCTTTGTTAATGATCTAAAGACTCTTTGTGCACTAATAGCTTGTCATTATTTGATAATGAAACCACTTGTAACATTAAGCAGAGCAGTGTGCTAATTTTTCACATTTTATGAACATGTTTTTCCTGTCCTTCATCCTCCAGTTCCATTTGCCGTGATCCTGATCCTTGGTTGGCTTAGTGAGGCATGAACCCAAAGGTTGAATTATGAATGTTATAGGTCCCCCTCATATAACTGTCGTATTAATGTTCTTTCTTTGCAGGCACTTCTTGATCTCATTGACTATGTGATATTTGAACATATTCCACGCAAATAGGCTGTATTCTTTAAAAAGCCCATTGGGACACATACTTTATTAATACTCCATACTTTATTAATCCAAAGATTGGCATCATTTTCGTACATCCAACCGTTGTCATGGCCCTGCATAAAAACTCCTCCAGGAATATGGTTTTTGGCATGATTTTACATTTAAGAATTACCAAAGGCTTTAACTTAATTCTGCTGATCACGCTGGTAAGAACATTGTCTCCTCATCAGCTGCTAGAAATTTTTCTTTCATAAAGTGACAACACAAACCAGCTGTTGCTGTCACATGGCATGCTGTCATAACAGCCAAATCATTTTCGCCCACTAATGGTCCCCATTAGTACTTTTTCTTTTCCCCCAGCTCACCAATATCCATCCCTTTGTCTCTCCAATGCTGTTCTCTCTCTCAAGGTTCCATCTCCACCTATTATTTAATCTCCCCACAAACCCATCTTTCGTGAAAGAGCATCCCCTAATTTTAAAACAGTGTTCACTAGTTCTGGACTTACTCACAAGAGGAAAAAGTTTTTTCTATGTCCATCATGTCAAGACCATCCAGGATGTTATACGCTTCAATCAAATTAGCCCTCACTCATCTAAATTCAACCTGTCCAACCTTTCCTCATTCAAAAGCCCACTAATTCCAGGAATCAATCAAGAAAATCTCCTCTGAACCACATAAAATGCACTTACATTCTTCCTTAAATAAGGAAACAAGAACTGCACACAGTATTCAAAATGTGGTCCTTACTTTTGTGTCAAATTCTTCTTATAATAAAGAATGACATTCTTTCTTGACCATGCACTGTACCTGTATACTAGCCTTTTGTGACTCATGCAGTGGAACGCCTAAATCTCTTTGCACTGCGAATTCTGAAGCCATTCTCCATTTAAATAATATTCTTCTTTTTTATTCTTCCTGCCAAAGTCAACAACTTCATATCTTCCAAAGATTTTCCAATGTTATACTCCAGCTGCCAGATTTTTGCCCGCTCACGTAACCTATCTATGTCTATCTGCAACTTATTTATGTCATCTTCACAAAATACTTTGCTACCTACCTTGGACTTGTCTGCAAACTTAGCTAACATGCTTTCCCTCCCTCTGTCAAAATCAATGTTGTAAATTGTAAAAGGTTGAGCTAGCACAGACCCCTGTGGGACTCTTCTTATCCCATCCTGCCAATCAGACAAAGACCAATTTATGCATACTCTGCCACAGTCTGTCTACTTGGTTCCTTTTATCCACAGAACATGCCACTTCTCTAAAGAACTCCAATAAATACCGTCGTAGAGTTATACAGCAGGGAAACAGACCCTTTGGTCCAACTCGTTCACGCCAACCAGATTTCCCAAACTAAACTAGTCCCATTTGCCTGCATTTGGCCCATATCCCTCTAAACCCTTCCTATTCATGTACCTGTCCAAATGTCTTTTAAATGTTGTAACTGAACCTGCATCTACCATTGGTTAATCATGATCTCTCTCTGATGAAACCATGCTGACCCTTCCTGATTACCTTTTGTTTTTTCCTAAATATACAGCTATATTCTTTTTAATATTGATTCTGATACCTTCCCCATGACAGACATTAGGCTAAAGGGCCAATAGTTTCCTATTACTGACTCCTCTTTCTTGAAAAGAGGAGTTATATTTGATACCTTCCAATCTTATGGAACCTTTCCTGAATCTAGGGAATCTTGGAAAATTGATACCAACAAATCTACGACCTCATCAGCAACCTCTTTTAGATTTAGATTTAGATTTTATGGTCACGTGTACTCGAGTACAGGGGTACAGTGAAAGTGTCCAAAGTGGCCATTCTCCAGCGCCATCATAGTATACAAAAAACAAGATTAAGAACAGAAGCAGAAATAAAAGAAACAGCCAAAAGGAAAGGAAATCTCCAGGCCACTCCCCCACCTCTACCATGAGTCCTCACTGCAAGATAAACAAAGCCACAAAGTCCATCCCCTGGTCATGAACACTCAGGTGCCAAGTCCTCACATGCTGCTGCAGCTGAAATGCCACCGCCTCCACCATCTGGTACCCAGGTACAGCATGGCCTAGAGCTGGGCCACTACCATCAGAACCATGTCACCCTTCTTCAGTGCCATCCTTCCTCCACTGACATTGTCACTGCCGCGAGTCCATATTGGGATGGTTTCAGCAATGCAGCCAGTGCTGAAGCTGCTGGTGCCTTATTCTAACTTATGTTGCTGCTGCTGCCGCCTCCAGGGACCACCATAGGAACCTCAGCTGCTGACCTCCAGGAAGGATCTGCTCCTGCCGCTGCTAACATTCCAGAAAAGGGCCTGCTCCAGCCAAGATCCTACAGTAAAATCCATCTGAACTTAGACTTGTTCAGCTCACAGTTCCATCAGTTTGCTTAGTGCCTCTTGCCTCATGATTGTAATTTCACCAGGTTCCTCTCTCGCTTCTACCCTCTGATCTTCTGTTATTATTGGAATGTTGTTTGTATCCTCCATAGTGAACACAGAAACAAAATGTTTGTTAGTTTCACCCACCATTTCCTTTTATCTGTTATTAGCTTCCCATTCTCATTCTCTAGAGAACTAATACTCACTTTACTTACACCTTTCCTTTTGAAATACCTGAACAAAGATTAGCAGATTCTTGGTGAGAAGGTGCCTGCTTGACATGTTCAATTACTCAACATACCTGACTGACACTGGTTGAAAATGTTTCAGCTTTGATGTTTACACTCAATTGCCGGTCTTCACGGATTAGGATGGGGATGTTCATGGTGTCTTCTCCTCTCATCGTTTGTTTTATGGTCCACCACCCTGCATGACTGGATGTGCCATCCCTGTAAAGCTTTGTTCCGATTGGTTGATTTTGGAATTAATTGCTCAGATCGCTTGTGTTTCTACACAACCGTTTGCCCTATTCACACCGATCCCAGAACCCATTTCGAGGACACTGTAAATGTTGAGGATCTTTCATTATACAACCTCCTATGCAAATGGGGAATGTCTGTGGATAAGTAGAAATGTAATTATGTTTTGTTCCATAATACATAAAATGTCAGTTACATATAACATCAGTCACAAGTATAACGGTTTGTTTTAATGATACAGTAGATGTAATTTTGGAGTTCATGCTGTCAACATGGACCTTATCTATTGGCAGTGCAAGTTGGAAATGCCAAAATCTTACAAGTTTCTGACTATGAAAATAAGTGATTAGAAACATTTGGTCCGGAGGCACACAGATTTCCTGTTTACACTGCTAGAATGCGAGACTTTCCACCCAAAATATGGACATTCAAAACATTCATGTTTCCTAACATTTTTATTATTACGTGGTTTCAGGTGAAGCTTACCTGCCCTTTGCAGAAATGCCCAAGTTACGAAATGCAGTCCTGTCAGGGAATGAGGAGGATGATTCTGCATATCAAGCCATTACGAGCGGCACAGGATCCTATTCTCGTTTAGGGCCTTCTTCCAGCTCAGCCAGGCCTGCTTTACCACCAAACAGGAATCCAAAAGGCATTTGAACAATCTGTAATTAGCATCTATTGATATCACGGTCTGAATAAAATTCATGTCATCATTTTTTTCTGGTTTTGTTGAAGATCCATAACATCTATAACTCATTTTTTAAAACTGATGGCAATACTTGAAGAATGAGCATTTAATAATTTTGGAAAACAAATTAGAATTATAAAAGTAAACTGATTATTCTATTGAAACATGTGTAGCTACAAGGTACCTGGAAACATTTTGCTCCTTGTTTGTTGTTTAAAATGCCAGTGAGCAGAACACATTGTTGAACATAATGGCAGTTCACAAGACGCTAACAGATAAGGATGATTATTGAACTAAACTTAGTTCATCCACCCAGAAAAATCCTAACATCTGCCAGTCATAGCATCCAACAGTTTCTTAATTTATCCAGGGCTTCCCCATAATACGCCCCCCCACCGCCAACCCCACTTCTTTATACGGAGGATTATTCCTTAAATAGATTGGTATTCATAAGAAAAAGAATTTCTTGACATCAATCCAAAATTGACCTTTTACTAGTTTGAACCTATGTTCCTGTTGTCATATTAAAATATTTTACTTAAAGCATTCTGCTGATTAGTTCCTGCAAATTCGACAGTACGGTCTGCTAACTGAGACCCCGAGCGACACAATAATATCTGAAGGAGATCGTTCACTTTTTTTATTTCTAGCTTGTGAAAAGCTTTTAAAATCCTTACCTTACACATGGTAAACAAGAAGTCACCAAGTGAACTAGCTATCACGTAACTATTTGCATAATTGTGATCAGACAACATTTAAAAATGTCAGTTTTTATTGTTTTCTCTAGCATTTGAAAAATCTTTGATATTTTTAAGCATGGTAATTTTGTACATTGTATAACTACACAAGTTTATCACAAAAGTGGCCATTTTAATAAGAATATCTGATAAATTACTTGCGAACAACCTTATCTTAAAAATCTGAAATGAATTAAAGAAAACTGTACAGAACCATATATTAGTTTCATGGGGGTACATCGGTCAGTTTCCCCTTGGTAAATTGTACTTTTTTAATATTGAAGAGATTTGATAAGATACCCACTAATGACATAATTTAAAGAATATTTCCTAAAGGTCACAAATGGTTGACAGAGCAATCCCACCAACTTCATTAATTTGACCTGGGGGCAAGCTTGATATGTGATGTTCCCGAAACCGACATAAAAGATCATGGACTGATCAAAAACTGATATTTACACTGTGCTTGGAATTCTTCGATCTTTCTCAGATCTTGGGCAAATTGAACACAATGGAAACTAAATCCTAAGAAATCTAAAAACCATAGAGTTTGATATGGAAAGTAAAACAAGCTTAAAGATTGGTACTCAGCTGTGGGATATTTATCATCATGATTTTCCATGTTGATTTTCTTGCTAATTTCTTTGTAAACTTTGCACCTTAATTAAAAACTGATGATTTATAATAGTTGTGTTGTTTTCCTAAAACACGTTGCATTTCAGTCAGACCCAGGATCCATCTCTATCTAACTGGAAGAACTGCAGATACTGAGATTCCTCCAACAATATCTCCTGGTGTCATAACGTAAAGAGAAATCCCAAAGAAAACAGTGTTGTCTTCCTTTTTTTTATGTTTGTTTTATTTTAAGAAATGGAGAACCTTGCTGGATTCAGAAGATGGTTGAAGCTGATTACATGATTATACTTTCAACAGCTTCTGAACCAACCTGAATTGTATAGATATTCCAGCTAAAGCTGATGAAGGGCTTGGAGACAAGGCATCTACCTCTAGCCAGCTCTAGCCAAAAGAAAACGTCAAAACCCATTATGTTAAAATGGGTGTTGAAGTTTTCAGTCATCTTTTCACCTAGTAATTAAAACACTGGTGCAGGATGTAAAGCTACATTGTTAGCTGAATGACCTTCCAATTAGCCCACTGAGATGACGGCCAACAGTGCCTAAAATACGTCTTTTATCACATGGTGGAGTTTGGAACTTTCTGAATTGTTTATGTATACAATTCTGTTGCTGTTTGACCTCCAGAGAGAGGAGGACTCCAGGCTGAACATCTCAGATCTTCCACATCTGTCTCCAAGTTGCTGGCAGGAAAGAAGCCAGCTTGTCTGCAAGCAGAAAAGCTCCTGAAGAAGGGTAATACCCAAAACATTAACTGCTCCTTGCCTCTAGATGCTGCCTGGCCTGTTGTGTTCTTCCAGCCTCCTGTCTGTCTACCTTGGATTCCAGCATCTGCAGTTTCTTTTGTCTCTAGAAAAACTACTGGGCCCAGCTCGTTGATTATTATCAGATACTGACCTCTGGGAAATTCTAACTCACATCTGATTTTTTAATACCTCGAGATTTATCAAAACTCACAAGTTATAAACTCTTCCCTCTCCTGTCTTCCTTAATTTCCCGAGTGCTTGTGTGTGAAGGGAATAATGAAACAATTTTCTGAGGTTTTAAATATTTTGTTATTAGATCTACCTTCAATTTCATATTAAAAATGTTTTTACTGTGGTTTTATTCCAAAATTTGAAATCTAAAACCCAGGGTTTAGGAACACAGGCTTTGGCCCCTCAAGGGATGGGAATAAAGAGGGAAAGGAATAAATCGAACAATATCTTACTATCATGGTTATGAGGGGAACGCTACCTCTACATCGCCGAGGCCAGACGCCAACTCTCTGACACCTCCTCCTACCGCCCCCTCGATCATGACCCCACCCCTGAGCACCAAACCATCATCTCCCAAACCATCCACAACCTCATCACCTCAGGTGACCTCCCATCCACGGCCTCCAACCTCATCATTCCCCAACCTTGCACTGCCCGCTTCTATCTCCTTCCCAAAATCCACAAACCTGAATGCCCTGGTCGACCCATTGTCTCCGCCTGCTCCTGCCCCACCTAACTGATCTCCAACTATCTAGACTCCATTTTCTCCCCCTTGGTCCAGGAACTCCCTACCTATGTCCGTGACACCACCTACGCCCTCCACCTCCTCCAGAACTTCCAATTCCCCGGTCCCCAACACCTCATCTTTACCATGGACGTCCAGTCCCTCTACACCTGCATTCCCCATGCAGATGGCCTTAAGGCCCTCCGCTTCTTCCTGTCCCGCAGGCCCGACCAGTCCCGCTCCACTGATACCCTCATCCGCTTAGCCAAACTCGTCCTCACACTCAACAACTTCTCTTTCAATTCCTCCCACTTCCTACAGACAAAGGGGGTAGCCATGGGTACCCGCATGGGCCCAAGCTACGCCTGCCTCTTTGTAGGTTACGTGGAACAATCCCTCTTCCGTACCTACACCGGCCCTAAACCCCACCTCTTCCTCCGTTACATTGATGACTGTATTGGCGCCGCCTCGTGCTCCCACGAGGAGCTCAAACAGTTCATCCACTTCACTAACACCTTCCACCCCAACCTTAAGTTTTCCTGGACCTCTCTGTCTCCATATCGGGCAACCACCTAGAAACCGATATTCATTTCAAGCCCAACGACTCCCACAGCTACCTAGAATACTCCTCCTCCCAACCACCTTCCTGCAAAAATGCTATCCCCTATTCCCAATTCCTTTGCCTCCGCCGCATCTGCTCCCAGGATGAGGCATTCCACTCCCGTACATCTCAGTTGTCCTCGTTTTTCAAGGACCATAACTTCCCCCCCTCAGTGGTCGAGAACGCCCTCAACCGTGTCTCCCACATCTCCCGCACCTCATCCCTCACACCCCGTCCACGCAATAAGAACCAAAAAAGAATCCCCCTCGTCCTCACGTACTACCCCACCAACCTCCGGATCCAACGCATCATCCTCCGACACTTCCGCCATCTGCAATCCGACCCCACCACCAAAGACATCTTTCCCTCCCCACCCTTATCTGCTTTCCGGAGGGACAACTCTCTCTGTGACTCCCTTGTCCGCTCCACACTCCCCTCCAGCTCCACCACACCCGGCACTTTTCCCTGCAACCGCAGGAAGTGCTACAGCTGCCCCTACACCTCCTCCCTCACCCCCATCCCAGGCCCCAAGAAGACTTTCCACATCAAGCAGATGTTCACCTGCACATCTGCCAATGTGGCATACTGCATCCGCTGTACCCGGTGTGGCTTCCTCTACATCGGGGAAACCAAGCGGAGGCTCGGGGACCGCTTTGCAGAACACCTACGCTCGGTTCGCAACAAACAACTGCACCTCCCAGTCGCGAACCATTTCAACTCCCCCTCCC